TGGCTGGCGCCTTAGCCGGTTGAGCTATAGGCGCCGAGCCTTGATTGCTGTTCTAAATACGGCTGGACTATTTCTATCAGCTAAGCACAAACCTAAATCTACAATCCGCATATTTCCTACCCCAATTTATTTGTCCCCTCTTAGTCAGTAAATCACCTTACAGCTTTACAAAATAGATTATAAAGATGTTATCCCAATCAGCATCAAACAATAATATACCACTGTGCTAGAAGTGCTTAGAAATGCTAGAAATGCCCGGGAGACTGGAGATGTTTTACTGCTGCTGTTTAATACATAAGAAGCAGAGAGCTTTCAAATTCTGTGCATGTTTAGAATTCCAGCTGTGGTTATTTAATATAGGCAGGTTTTGTCTGTTTCATGCACTGAGAAACACCTGTTAATTAATATTTCAACAGATATTTTCATGCTTGCACACCAGTTATTTAAAAAGCAAAATACTAAAGAGCTAAACATTTGTATTAATAGGTAGCTGAGTGTGGATGGTTTTAAGCATTTGTCATTAATGGTTTGTTGCATTTTGTTTTGTTGAATGAAAAAAATTCGACACTTTATTTTACTTTATTTCTAGTATTTTAGTCCATTCAAGGCACTGGCCAATTCAATGTCTGGTGAGAACCTCCTTTCTGACAGATGCTTTCTGCCTTCCATATGGTAGAAGGGTAACTGAGCTCCCTCAGACCTCTTTTTATAAGGACACTAACTCCATTCATGGGGGCTCCACCCTAATGACCTAATCACCTCCCAGAATCCTTGCTTTTTTTTTTTTGCAGTTTTTGGCTGCGGCTGGGTTTGAACCTGCCACCTCTGCCATATGGGACCAGCACCCTACCCTTTTGAGCCACAGGCACCACCCAATCCTTGCTTTTTGATACTGTCACCTTAGCGGGTAAGGGTATGATTTCAACATGAATTTGGGGGCATATACATTCAGTCCACAGGAGCCATTCTAAGGCAGTGATTATCCTCTCCCATGGCCCCACTATCCATAGGCAGCTTTCCTTTAGTTCTGTCACCTACTTCTATGAGTACGCAGATGTAAAAACTGCCTGGTACATGGACATATTCATGGAATGTGAAAATTTTGACTAGCCTGCCCAG